ACTCGGTGCTTTCTTAAGTACCAGCTCATAGCAGGCCAAATAGTGAAATGGTTAAGCCCAAGGGTTTGCTGCCAGACAGACCTGCATTCAAATCCTAGTTTTATTACCACCTTACTACCTACTATCTACCCAGTCTCAACTTTCTCAGTAAAAATACCACCATTCTCATAGGGTTGGGAGTATTAATAACTCAGTGTGTGTAAAGTTCTTGGCACAGCACCTGGAACGTAGTAAATACTTAATAAATGGCTACTGTCTTTTTCCCCTTTCTCACCAACCCTATGACATGAGCAAAGCAGGATTTGCCATTTTGCAGATGAAGAAATTGAGAGTCAAAGTAGCAAGTGACCCCTAAGGTCAAAGATGAGGAGCTAGGATTAAAACTTGGGTTTTATTTAATAGAACCTGAGAGGCAGCCATGGAGTAAGCTGAATTACTCTCTCGGTGAACAAGAACCAGCTAGTGAATGAGTCAAGAAGGCAGAGCCGAGCTTCATCTAAGCAAGATTCATCCATCAGATGTCTTGGATACCAAAGGAAGTCCATTATAGTGAGTGAGAAGCCAGATCATATAATGGCTGACTTCTCAATTCTCAATGTTTTAAATGAATTATTGTGTTAATCTTCTTGGAAGGTATATTATGATGGATAACATGAAACACATAGTTGGTTTGGGTCCCCATTCATGGCACAGAGCTCCTAAAACCCTTTGAATTTCCTAAGTGCTGAGTGCCATGAAGGTGTCTCTTGTGTTAATGAGGTGAATTTTGGGAAATCCCTAGGTCACCTAAGGGTTGCCAAGAAAACCAATCCTGTGATTAGAAGGTTGGAACTTTCAGTCTCACCCCTTCCCCTATCCACCCTATCCCACCCGCAACCTCCTGGCCAATGATTTAGTCATTTGTGCCTATGTAATGAAGCCTCCATAAAAAGCTAAAGGACAGGGTTTGGAGAGCTTCCCAGTTGGTGAACACGTGGAAATGTGGGGAGAGTGGCATGCCTAAAGAGGGCATGAAAGCTCCCTGCCCTTTCCCCATGCTTTGCCCTATGCATCTCTTTCATCTCTTTGTTTCTGAGTTATATCCTTTTATAATAAACCAACTATCTATTAAGTAAAATGTTTCTCTGAATTCTGTGAGCCACTCTAGTAAATTAATTGAACCCAAGGAGGGGGTCTTTAGAACATCCCTTCTATAGCCAGTTTGTCAGAGGCACAGGTAACAACCTGGGACTTGCAACTGGCATCTGAAGAGGTAGTGGGAGGATCTACACATTGGAATTAGTGTCAGAATTGTAGAAGAAATTTTAGAGATTTAGTAAATTGCTGAGAAAGGCAGTAAAATCTTAAATCAACATCCTGAAACCTAGAGCACAAAGCTATGTCATGAGTGAGGGGCATTCAGTCAGTCCATTCAGTGATGGTGAAAGATAAAGACTTGGGCCTTGAACTTACTTACCCCTTCTTAGAGACTTCAGCTCTTGACCACCTCTGATTCTTCCCTGTAGCTACTGATGAGACAATATCAGCTCTCTAAGGTTATATAGTGTTACCTGTGAAATTGGACCTCAGTTCTTGAGTTAGGCAAAGAAAGAATTCAGAGACAAGAACTCAAAATATAAGAGAACGTTTATTTAGAAAGTTATAGAGTAGAAGTGGGCCAAGGAAGCCCAACAGTCACAGCACAAAGTCACAGAATGTACCAGCCCAAAGAGCATGGATAGCCAAGTTGACACACCACTTGTCAATTTTTCTCTTTAGCTGTTTCAAATCCTTATACACCTGTCTTTCACTTCACTTTTTGTCTTTCTTCTTCCTTTCCCCTGTTTTGAAACCCAGGCTGTAGATACTAGAATACTGAAGCAACATATTCAGTAACTGTGGTTGGTTAGGCTTCCTTGATCATAAGTAATGAAAGAGAGTGAAGAGTAATTGAAAGAATACTCGTGGCAATAAGAACAAGAGTCTCAAGGGAACACAGGGACAGTAAAACTGACCTCCGGACCTTAGTGTGGTGTTGGAGAATTGGAAGGCTAGCTCTAGGAATAGAGCATTGTTGATATCCCTTCAGTTTATGGATCTCTCACCACAAGAGTGATCCGATTTTTCTCTGTTTTTGCTTCAACCACTTCTGTTGCTACTGACTGACCAACTCTGTTCCGTAGCTTTTCTCTAAGTCATAGCTTTGTTTATTTATAACTTGGTATTATTCATTACTTCAGCCCACTGTCACCTCAAAGGGCCCCACCTCTCCAAGGTTTCACTTTAGGACCCTCACTACTATTGCCTTGCCTTTTTCTGTAGCTTCCACTCCAGCTCTAGAAGGGAAAGAATTTGATTGATCAGTGTCCCTATAGGGCAGAGCTTTGGGGAGCTAGGCCATCTCAGGTCACTGCCCAGACAATGGATAGGCTATCTCTTGGCCACATGACCCCTTCTGATTCAATTAATGATGATGGTGATAGGAGGAAGTCAAGGTCACATGGTCAAAACCATGACCATCTTAAGGAACCAGCCAGGGTCACCTCCTTCTGCAGGCAACCATGGGCAAGGATCTTTTAGACAAGTCTGGGAGCTCTTGATTGGCCTGTTCTGTATATGTGACTAATTTTGATTTTTCTTACTAAAGGAGACAGATTAGAGGTACTTGTCCAGCCTGGGCATGCCCCAAATTTGCAATTGGTCACCAGCCACAACCCCTGTTAAATTCTCCTTAGCTTAATCCCGGTAAATCAGACACTATTGCCAAAGGATTTGGAATTAGGACACTAAGACAGTCTAAGCCAGCTGATGATGGGATGGGTGCTTGAACTGAAAAATCAAGCAGAATTTTAGCTAGCACTGACACCACGAAAAGCCAAAATTTACGTGTATATTTAAGTTTGGGGAGGCCCTGGCCGGATAGCTCAGTTGGTTAGAGTGTCGTACTGATACGCCAAGGTTGCTGGTTTGATCCCCAGTCAGGGCACATACAAGAATCAACCAATGAATGCATAAATAACTGGAGCAACAAATCAGTGTTTCTCTCTCTCTCTCCTCCCCCCCTTTTCTAAAATCAATTTTTAAAAAGTTAAAGCATCTATCAGATTTTTTTTTTTTTTAAGTTTTGGGAAGCAGAAATAGCCACTCTGCAGGGAAAAACAAAAGATACAGTGAGCAGAAAAAATAGGAGGCAAACAGCCCCATGAAAGATGGATTTTTTGTAAAGTTCCATTTCCTGGGGTAGCCTGGTCATACTGTCTTGTTCTTAGAGATGTCCATGATGTTGCTCGTATGCCTTCAACTGACTCCCTTTTTCACTATAGCTAGAGTGAAGTGCTTTTTGTTGAAGTTATTGTCACTCACGAGCAAGCCTCTCCAACTAAAACGCCTACCTCCGCTGTCCAAAATTCTATTCCGATATGTTGCTTAGCCTCTCTGCAGGAAAAGTCAGTGAGAGGGTGGATGCTCCCAGGAGTTTTACTATGACAGAGCTCCCCACACATGGAGGAACATCAGGAGGGAGGAACATGATTTCTCCCCACATCCTTCACTATGTTTTCTTCTTTTAATTCAATTCTTTAGGCTTAACCAGTAGGGCTGTGAACAACCAGAAGTATGGCTGTCCTCTCAGGGGAAGATATCAGCTGGGTATCTTCTAGGCAGTTTTATTTACACCTTCACAAAGTGCCCCCCCCTTCAGAAATCACAGTTCCTTGAAGACACCTGACTGGGAGCACTGGGGACTGCAAATTTGACCTTTAGAAGGCTCTGTGATTCCATGTTTTCCAAAAGACCTGGTCTTTTCTCAGCTTTCAAATGCCCCAGACTTGCTTAATACCAGTGCAATCTGCGTAAAAACATTCATTTATCTGTGGACACAGCCTCTGTAAACTTCAGTCATTTGCCAAGTTCAAAATACTACATTGCTGAAGGCTCAAACCTCATAGTGGATTTGAAGGGTTCCACTAAGCAGCACCCTTTCTCTTGGCCTGAATTCTAAAGAAGTGAGAAATAAAAGGTAAAATAAAAAATAAGACATGATCAACCTGTCACATTTTCTAATTGCAGACTGTGGCTTAAATACCCCAGCAAGTGGGTCTTTCCAGAGTTAGCCACCTTCTTTCCCAAGATACTGGCAGCTCTAGATGACCACAGCCTCCCCACATGGAGACCAGGCTCTCTATAGTTATTCCATGGAGCAGCAGAATTGACAGCTCCTAGTCCCAAATTTTTACAAAAGAGAATAGGGGTTACCCAAGCAGGCCAGATCCTTTCCCAAACTCGTCAGGAAGATTTATCATTCCTACTCCCCTGGGAGAAGTCACTGAGTGGGCTGGGAGACCAGGATAGTGTAGTAAAGAAGCTTCCTCGATTGACAGGGAAGTATACTGTGGGTATTTGGTTAACACCATTTTACAGACGAGCACTCTGAGGAAGGGAAGTGGAGAAAAAGTTTCATTTTCATTGAAGGGATGTGCAGCTCACCTGTGTTTGATACTTACCTGATTAACTCCTCAAATTTTAAAACTCCTGCCCTGGCCACTGTGACTCAGTCGTTAGAGGGTTGGCTGGAGAACCTAAGGGTCCCAGGTTCGATTCCCAGTTAAGGGCAGGTACCTGGGTTGCCGGTTTGTTCCCCGCCCCAGTCAGGGCACGTGCAGTTGATTGATGCCTCTCTCTCTCACATCAAGGCCCACCCTCCCCACAGAACTCGGGGTCCGGGTAGTCCCTTAGTGTGAATTTTAAAAAGGCCCCCCCAGGCCAACTCAACCGTGTCCTTGGATGCTTGATATGCTGACCATGGGCTCAATTTCAGCCCCTGGGACTTCAGCCTTTTACCCACACGCAGGACTGAACAGCAGAGCCCTACGTGGCAGCACTCTGGAGAATGGAGGTCACACAGGACAGAGCGACTAGACTATTCCCAGGTCTCATCACCATGAAGTGCCACACCCGTCAGCCCTAGCCCACCTACTTGGATTTTTACTTGTTTAAGCCACTGCCATTTTCCTTTTTGTTAGTCCTAGCAACACACTGGAAGCCCCGGATTTTACTCTTGGATACTTCGACCCGTAACTCCTCTTCCCCACCCCCCACCAGCTCACACTGCTTTTATGAGTACCTCATTAATCAGTCACCCAAAGTGAATGCAGTGGTACCTCGGTCTTCAAACGTCTCTGTTGGCAAACATTTCAGTTTACAAACGCCGTAAACCCAGAAGGAAATGCTTCGGTTTTCAAACACGCCTCGGAAGTCGAACATGCCACACAGCTTCCACTGAGGGCAAGATCCTGAGGCCCAGCTGTTGGCTGCGGATCCCCGGTTTTCGAACGTTTCAGAGCTCGGTCTTCCGGAGCGGGTCACATTCGAAAACCGAGGCACCCCTGTACTACCGAGTATCCTCTGCTCTACATCGTTTTACGTTTCCACCGCTGGGACCAGAGCTTCTGCCAGGTTGGGCCTCATTACAGTAAGACCTTCACATTGATCCCTTTTGACTTAAAGTTTTAAGGCCATCTGCTAATGGATAGTTTTGTTTTTTAATATGTTTTTATTGATTTCAGACAGAAAGGGAGAGGGATAGAAACATCGATGAGGAACATCAAAGGGCTGCCTCCTGCATGCCCCCTACCGGGTACTGAGCCCGAAACCTGGACGCGTGCCGACCGGGAATTGAGCCGTCAGCTCGTTCCGTAGGTCAAGACTCAACCCCTGAGCCAGCTGGGCTGATAATGGATAGTTTTACCTGTTATTGTAGACAGTAACACCAGGAATGCTCCACTGAATTTAGATAGCAGTGTTCTCCATTCTGTTTCTTAGTTAGCAACTAACTCATGCTTGAGGGTTGTTAGGCTCCGAATGGTGGTAATGAGATTATGCCCAGAAAAGGCAAAACATTGTTTTGTAGCACCTCTTTGCTCTCAAAACCTTGGAAAATGACCTGAAACTAAAAGTATTACTTATTTTTAAAGATAATTTATATGATCCCTCAACACCCCTGAGGTCAGTGCACATATTTCCGTATTTTGTAGATGTGGAGACAGACAAGGAGCAATGAAATAGCCTGTCGTGATTACAAAGCTAGTTAGTGGAGCTAAATCTAATATCCAGATCTTTTAGATGTTTTCATTACTCACATTGGTTCACAATCCTTTTATTTCCTGAAACTATTTCTTTGCAGCTCCATTTCAAGACAGCAGGAAGTGCCAACACTACCCACAGGCAGTCTCGTTTTTTACTGTACAATGTGCCAAGTTGAGTGTTTGTTTTGGTCTTGGCAGCAGATGCCCTGATTATCTCCATCAACGCAAACAGCTCCCAGTCCTCTATCACTCTTCCTAATTGGTTCTCCCCCCTTAGGCTGTTGGCTATCATTCTTTCATAAGGCTTACATCACTAGGTAAAGAACACTTGCAAGATTTAATTTGCTTGATTGACCAAACAACATAGTAAACCCATCTCTGATTTTGACTGAGTAGATCATCTTGAAGCTTTCAAATTACCAAGGAAAGGGCAAGTGCACTGTATTCTTTTCAAACAGCTGTGCAAGTAGTTTTCATGTTTGGATTTAGACTTTAATTCATAGAATATGGCCCTTGAAAAGTCATATTCATTGATGCTTTGGGTGGCCTCCAAAATGTATTAGTCTTGCATAGAAATAAAACACTCATTGTTCTATGCTGTGTGTGATACAGCTGACTCATGTAGTTTTAACATCCTATTCACTATTTTCTATGCAATGTTGTATTTTTACATTGAAGGAAAAAATCCAGACCCACCAGTCTCATCACTGAAGACCAATCAAACTGGCCTCAGAAGTTGTGAATCTTTACTTTTTTAATGTCTCAATTTTTTTGAGGAAGAGATACAACAGCAATGAGAAACATCGATTGGCTGCCTCTGCACGCCCCCTACTGGGGATTGAGCACGCAACCCAGGCAAGTGCCCTGACCCGAAACGCAACCAGGGACCTTAGTGCACAGGACTACACTCAACTGAAAGCCCTGGGCTGGGCTGAATCTTCCTTCTTGATGAAACCAGGAAGCACATATTCCTATGAGCTCCTGCAAATTATTTTGCTCCCCAACTGAACTACTTTATTCCTGGCATTACTGAGTTCAACATTTAAAAATTTCTTGTATTGGGCTAAAATGTGTCATTTGGAAAAATCAGTTTTAAAGCACTCAAGACTGAGCCATCTCCAGGTGGCTTCTACATAGATAGAAAAATAGCCATGACTCTTAAAGACAATACTACTATAACTTGGTAGCTTTGGGACTGAAACAGGGCTCTGCAAAAGTTGTAGGTACTAGTAAATGTTGAAAGTAGCATTTTATTCATGCATTACTCAAGAAGTTGGGGGGGTGGGAAGAAAACTAGTAGCAGCCATCAGATTGCTACTAATACCACTCTCTACATCAAGGCTGTTTAAACGGGGCCTGATATGAATGCCTCCCACCCAGTCATGCTCATGTGCACTTCCAAGCTCAGCATGCCCCAAGAGGTCTCTCTTCTGGACAGATGCAGCTGCTATAGAGTTTTTGCATGTCTTACCTGTCATCATGTCTTACAGTCAGTCAGTTGTAAGTGAATTAGCCAAAGAAGTTTTGGGGGACTTTTTTTTTAATGTACAGGTTTCTAAACATATGCAAACCACTCTACAATATTCAGGTGTAAGTGGCAAATAGTTTTTGAAAATGTATTACTGGCCTCAGTTTTTCCTATTTTGTGTCTTAGGCAGTAATTCACTTTCATCCAGTAAGGCTTTCCCAACCTCCAACCCAAATGTGGGGCCCCTTTGGAGATGCTCCCTTGCATGTACTCTTCTATTGTTAGATTTCGGGACCTCCTTATTCACCTTTGTGTCAAGTGTCTAGCAGGGCTCAAACTGATCCTCGAATGAAAACACCTGACTCCGAAAATGTGCTTGGGGTCCCTCTTGTGAAGGCCACTAAATGAAAAGTGGAGACAAGGCCTATACTCATTTTACCATCTCTAAAAGACAGATACAGCTTTCCATTACCTACTTCAAAGATGTCAAGGAGGAAAAAAATGAGAAATGTTTCACATTTATTGCAGGCATCTCAATCAAGTAGTGTACAAGAAGTACTGCGTAGCTATTGTTACTGAGGAAGGTGACGGGAGTGGTAGATGGGAATGAGGGCAGGGTGGGGCGGCATGTCCTTAGGTGGCTCTTCACTGCCCCCTGAAATAGTAAGCACACAACTGAAGAAAACCTATAGAAAGTGAGGGGACTTTCTGGTGGTATATGGAAGAGAGTCCCCAAAAAAGAAGTAAATGAAAATACTTTCTTCAACTCAGTTTTACCATCTACATTAGTAAGTACCACAGCCTGGAAAAATATAGACTATAAAACTGTGAAGTCATGAGGAAAAAAGCAGTGGTACCAAAAATGTTCCTGCTCTGGCTGGTGTGGCTCAATGGTTTGAGCATCAGCTTTCCCACCAAAGGGTCCCAGATTCAATTCCCTGTCAAGGGGACGTACCTAGGTTGCAGGTTCGATCCCCCACCCCAGTCAGGGCCCTTGCAGGAGGCAACCGATTGATGTTTCTCTCTCTCTTTCCACCCCCTTCTCCCTCCCTCAACTCTCTCTTAAAAAGCAATGGAAAAATATCGTGTGAGGATTAAAATTTTTTTTTCCTTAGAAGCCTGCCTTTTCTTAAATTGTTTTTGTTCCAAAACACACTGAATAATTATTGTTAATTTGTACTGAGGGGCATAATCCTCAAACCTGAAAGGTCACTAAAATTGTATTTCCCCATTCTTCCCTCACACTAATGTTAACACACAGACAGGAAAGCATACTTAAGGAAATTATGACTTATCTGTGAACATGAGACAGCTTTAAGCAACAATATTGGCCCTGCTTTGTATTATAGCCACATGTTCCTACTTTTCAACAACCTTGAAAAATAAATATTTGAACTACAATCTTCAATAAAGTCCCTCTACATTTGTTGTCAGCTTTAATCACCTTTTGCTTGTCTGCTTAGTGCTTTTAGCTCTTAGATGTTGCACCTGGAGATTCTAGCTTGCTTTATGATGTAGGTTTATACGCCCTTTAATTGAAAGCAAACCGCCTTAGATAATCCAGTGACAACAATGTTACAAGGTCCACTTTCCGTTAAAAAGCAAATAGAAATATTAGGCTGTTCTCTAAAATGAAGAAAAACACATAAAAATACACCACAATCCTCCTTTATCAAAGATAAATCCCATAGTCTAAAATGCCTCTTTTGTGCTTTTTCTCTGCCGTGGCAGGGATGGTGGAGTGTGAAGGACTGTAGCCCTCAATGACTGATCTTTTCTCACTCTATTTCTCTGCTCAAAGACAGACTTCAGTCATATAGCATGTTAACTATTGTACTCATGCTACTACAATAACTGTATCAACTTTAACCCCGAGTTTTATTTAATACTGTAATTATTACTTGTTGAATATGGAAGGATGACAGAAACATAAACTTCACTCCTAAGCAGTGTTTGCTATTTTTCTGTGTAGGTTAAAGTGAGTTTGTAAAATGACAGGAAGGAAAGGTGACATAAGAGGCCCCTTTAAGGCAATATAATTTCTGTAAGATAGCTTCATGATTTTAAATAACAATATGACAAGTGATCAAAAAAGAAACAGCTGGTTAACATATGCTAGGGGCTCTGTCTGCTTAACTGTGTACAACTACCCCTGGAGTTGTTACAGTGTACAGCTTGCACGGCTGAAGGGGGGTTGCAACTACCAATGGAAGTTATTTTTTCAAAAAAGGTCGAAAGTTACTGCTGATGGAACTATTAAAGAAACTAATGGGAGGTTTTAGAATATACAAAAAAAATCAAAACTTAGCACTGTCTCCAAAAAACTATTGCAACATTTCAGCTAACATCAAAACTGTTAGAATACGGGGGAGGGGAAAAGACTGGAAATATTTTTCCAAGCACCTAAAATGGTTTTCAAATAATAAGAGCAGGAAAAGCATTCAAGGTTAAATAGTTAAATCATACAACGGAGGAATACCCCTCTGAGGTTACCATCTTCCACCCAAATGTCTTTGGTTTTAGAAAAAAACAATTAGCCTCTTTTTAATTTAATGAAACACACTAGACAAATGGGTTCCATTCTTGACATATCCAAACAGCTCTTATTAGCCAAATATGCAATGTCTGGTAGACACACAGAAGGACCTCAAACATGGTTTTATTTTGACTGAGCATCACATAAGTGTAGAGATGTACAAATTTGCCTAGTATTTCATGGAGCTGCTGCTCTGCAATAGATTGCACTATAGCTGTAGGACCAGGTTTATTACAGTGTGTGCATGTGTGTGTCATTAACAATTTTTCTAACAGGGTGCAAACAACCCAATATAAGCTAAAAACAAAACAAAAAGCAAGGTCTCCTTTATAATTTGGCCATCTTAATATTCAATACAAGCCAGCATGTCACTAAGAAAATCATTCA